CTTGCAAAGCAGATTAATAGTAAATCTTACCTGATGCTCAGTTTTTTATGTTTTATATTTCATGATGAATAAAACCAGTTTCCCAAACATATCACCTTTTGTGAGTTTAAGAACCGTGAATTAAATTTTGAACTAAAGCAATTTTTTTTCCCGAGTTAAATTACAAATCTTTTAATTTTCCCACTTAGAGACACAACAGAAACCATCAATGACCAAAAATTAGGCCCAAATTTTACATAATGTTTTATTATAGCCCCCCCCCCCCCCAACTGCTTGACCATTGATCAATGCTCCTTTCCAACCAAAACACAAAAGATTCACATCCACAGCCCTGTCCCAATATGCCTGCATTGACTGTAACAATTAAGGAACCCTATAATTTATTCATTTGTCAAAACTAAGTTACTCAACGAGTAAAATTGTAAAAGGTCAGGAAATTTAAGTTGCATAATCATATTTTAAGGTTAACTTACCCTCTGATAAGACAGATAACTCAATGGATTAAATGTGAATATTTCTAATAAACTTGTCAAGTTACAATGTCTTTTGTGACAATTTTATCCTGAAGCTATGCTGAAATTATCTGCATTTCATTTTACCTATTTATTTATTTATTTATTTTTATTTATTTACTAAGACTTGTATTTGTAGAATTTTATTTATATTTGAACCTAAAAGGCCCTTGTGTGCCTAAAAATATCAAACAAGACCAGAAGCTTTTATTACATTGAAAGAAAACTCCCATGATGAAATTAGTTCCTACATGTAAAATCAAACACTTTCCCAAACCTAAACAAGAAATATTCTATATAATTTGATAATAATGTAAGTTTATTTGAGTTTTTGAGGTTAAGTTGAGAAGGTACAAAACTTTTACTTAACACAACTCTATAAATTTATGTATCATACCCAAGGGGCCTTAGGGTGCAGGAGAGAGAGGACAATAAACATGTTATCATTAAACCTTCACTCAATTAAAGTACAGGCTCTATCAGAGAAGTTCATGATTATGCAAGGTGGATACAGTTTTGAAAATGACCCTATAGCCTGAACCTCCTTGATTTCCTTTATAATCTTTACTTAACCAATGAGCAGACACAGAATATATATCTGAAATGTGTCTTTGATCCCATCTTAATTAATCTGAACCCATTTGATATCCCGACAACCAAAACAGTAGCTAGCCTTGATAGAATTTGAGTTATCAAAAACATGGGGAATCCTATCTACCCTAACTGGTGAACAATTGTGTTTTTAAATTGCAATACCCTTCTATTATTGGTCTGGTGGAGGCCGAAATTGTCCTCCTTGTCAAGCCCTACAAGAGATGTGATATCCTGATAGGTGAGGATGCTGCTGGCTCAAATCTGACTGTATTGTGGATTTGGACAATGTACAATTCAACTTAGGGTGCCCATGCCCCCATTTTAAACAGCTGAATTGCTCATTGTAATGCTTCCATCCAACTGATATTTAAGTCTCAAATATATTAAGTCATCATTCATGCATTCATTTTTACCTACCTAGAGTTTTGCCACTACATGTGACAACAGTAAATATGTTGTACAATAATACACATCTACTTCATGTTTTATTCATATGCATATTATAATGCATTATTGTAACACAACATTTTAAAGCACAACAACTTGCTCTGCATGTATTTTACTTTACATGATTTTATATCATAATTAATTACTGCATTTGTATACAAATGTATCTTTTCCATGCCTCTAGGGGAGGGGGGGGGGGCTTAATTGGAAATTAACTATTATCTATATATACACTTAAAAATACAGTACTTCCCTTTGTGAATTCAGCTATATAACATTTGGATGCACTGCAATATATTTACTGTATTTTAATTAATTTTCAATCTGTATTTATTTACTTACTGCTTTAAAGGTACAGGGTAGCACTATCCTTGTACAATAACTTTTTGTTTGTCACTAAATGTTTTCAAGTATTAAATTGATAAATATATATAACAAATCTATGTTACAGAAGCCACTGTGAGAATAATATGGATATTCCTCTAAATATTGTGGTCAAGGAACATAAGTATCTAAATATCCGATACGTTTTTGACCTTGAAGAAGGGTACCGAATAAATTTGAAGTTTAATTATCATCATTTTCACGCTGGCTCTTTTTTTAAGATAGTTCAACTACATAACATTTTCTTTATTCAAAATCTGTCGCTGAAATTGGTTATTGCCATTGTTATCCCATGTAACATGTGCCAGTACAATGGAAGGACGGTGTGTCAAATCGATCCGTTTCCATCCAATCAAATATTCGCCATCGAGCGATATAAATGTCAATCAAATAATTAATGATACTTATTTTGACTGAAAATTAACTTTAAAAAACAGAAATTGTGATTAACTATTTCAAAATACAAAAATTAAATCAGATACTTTCATCACCCACCTTTCACTTTCATTGATGCATAAAAAAGGGGAGATAACCCGGAAGCATAGTGACTAAGTACCGACACTGTATGGGTGGATAACAAAATTCCGACTTTACTCAATCATCAGTTTCTCGCAAAATAAGAGACAAGTGATGACATTAATAACAGGGTAGAGCTTTAATAACGACGCATATTGTGAGACGAGCTCAAATATGCGGTATTATCTTTTATGGGCCCTATGGAGTCCCAGGGCCAAAATCACATTTTTACAATCTTATAAAATGTTTTACAAATCTTGACATGTTACAAAGGTGTATGTGAAGCTATTGCATTAAATGCAAAGGGAAGATGGGCTATGAAAATAAAGAATGAGGAAAAGACCGACGTAATAATGGTAATAATAGCAACCCGACATTTCCTTATAAATTGTTGACATGATAAAACTTAGGGGACCCCAATCCTCGGAATGGCGACGAAATATCAAACAAATGTATATTTTGAATTTTGTCGAACACTACACCATCCAATATGTTAAATATGAAGAAAAAATTTTTTGCCACCTTGTCAGAATCAATTAATTGTATGAATAGAATCCTCTTCCGTATCGAATCAACTGGGAGAAATAAACACCACCTGCAGGTGATAATGGTATATTGCTGCATAAATAAAGAATAAAGGAAGTTGACGATAGAAAAGTTGTCCTTGTTCAGGTCTTATGATAAATGATATCTGTGTTCTCCTTTATCCATGAGAAGACAACTGCAAAAGGCTGGTGTCAATTGCATTAAAAATTATTTAAAAGATTTTTTTCTTAATAGATTACAAATTACAAATAAAGTACAGAATTTTTAGGATGTGTTATTAATTAAATTACAATAACTTTGCAAAAGTTTTTTTTTTTTTTTGGATTTTTTCATAATCAGAAAGACAATGTTTATACTCAGAACAAACAATACAAGAAATTAATTTCAGTATTTTGTATCTTCTTGGTGGTTTTGAATATTATTATTTTATCAAAATTTGTAGAAATTATCTGGGATAGGTTTGAGAGAAATAATTTTTGATATTACTGTTTCCTCCACACATAACATGTGTGTACTTGCACACCACTGAGCAGAACAAAGAACACTTTAAAAAAAAAACAGAGATGGAATCAGGTACCATGGAGGAGCAAGCATCCCATGTCATACCTGCCGTGGAACCTTTTTATCACCATAATCATCTTGAAGATACTAAATGCATTCATAGATATCTATTAAGATTTTTTAAAATATATATATTCATAGAAAATATTCTTTTTCTGGTGTATGTAGAGCAATTTAATTGCCACTTAAGGTCAGACGAAACTTTTCTCAAAGATATGTTTTGAATTCCTTAGTATTATATCAAAAATAATTCATAATTGTCATTCTCTTGTGATTTCTAAATTTTTTCAATATGTTTTATAAAATAAGTATACCAAAAACTGTGACATTGGCAATTCAAAAGATCATCCATAAAGATTATAGAAGAAATATCACCCTCTGGTATCGTGTCCAAATGCCTGGTAAAGTACCTCAATTTTTGGTGAGGAAACTTGTTTAAGTACACATGTAGCAATACTTCAATGACAAATTCTTGGGAAAAATTATGTATTTTTGAGGAACGTGTCGTCTGACCTTAAGTGAGTCAGGGCTAGGTATTGGCTTTCTATGCAAATGAGCTTATCAAAACACTTAAGAGTTTTTGAAACAGAGAAGGTTTAAATTTACTTATAATCAGAATATTCCGAAGATTGATGATATTGCTGAATAAATGTCATCAGTTTGTTGAGATACTGTTTGTGGTGTTTGTTAAAACACGTTAAAACGTTGAGTCTGACGTAGACTTCTTTCAACTCTGATAAAATGAAATAATTCACTGAATTCTGCAGCAATATCATAAACTTTTCTGATGTTCTGCCTCTTATCATACAATAATCCTATGAAATCAAACAATATGTGTTATTGCGCTTAAACTGTTTCGTTCTTGTTTGTTTTCTACGAGTAGTAGAAAACGACGACGTCATAATGTGTATTTAGTATAACGTGACTTGAAGCATGTATCAGTAAGTGAGTTTAAACCTTCTTTTTATAATAGTCAAATCTCTTGTGTGTCATAACCAGCTTATTTGCATAGAAACTCTCATACCTAGCCTTGTCTCATTTGCACATCTCCATTACACATTAATTAATTTAATTAATCATCGACTCTATTGACCATATCTTGGATGGAAGCAGGGGTGGGGAAGGGAGGAGTGGAGATTGTACTTAATAGCTATGATTTGAAGGGAAATTCTCTCAACAAGGTGAATCTTACAATCAATAAATTTGCAATATCTACCTCTGATACAAATTCAAGTTGTCATGATACAGAACTTAAAGATGCATGTATAATTCATAATTCTTTTTTATTTATAAACTAAATATTATCAGTCAAATATGTCAATGATAAAGATTGCTAAAGAAAGCGTTAAAGTAAATGCATATTTGAAATCTCAAATAAAAATTGCATATTTTGTCTTTCATCACCTAACCCAACAATCCCACTTCTGGAATTTCGGAGGGGGGCATGTTTCATGCCCTGTTAACAGATTTGTATCGCTTGTTGTGTTTTTTTATGGTTTTAGATCGATCACTGTTTGTTATCTTCATATTTTTCAAATAACCAGAATTCGTTGTACAGTAAAATGAATCAAAAATATTTATAAAAAATTATCATGTTACATGTCGAGAGAAAGTTTGATAATTAGTCCTTTTGTACTGCATATATTACTTAAGTAAGATCTCTGTCATTAAAAGGCAACAGCAATTACAGCGATAAAACAAAATAAATTTAGGCACAACAGGTTCTTTGAGTAAGAACATACAGATTCTTTACTGTTTTTTAAGTGCACAGTAATCACTAGTGGGTCCTTGGACGTCATAATCATTTCCTTCAGATGCAGAAACATCGAGTTCCTTTTATCTTCTTCCAGTATTGAGATTACTGTAGTCACTCTCTTCCATCGCACGATTATTGTTTCCATGGGCGTGGTCATAGTTTTCATCAATGTCAAGATCCTCTTCCTTTTCATGCAGATGATTGTATACGCCATTATTTACGTCACTATTTGCCATCGAACGTTGTTTTGCATCTTGGATGTTTTTCTTTACTGGCAAATCAATAGAATGAGCAAACGGTGGCACATTTACAACCTTTCTCTAGAAAACAAAAATGTTTAATGAAATATGTTTGCCTTATTTCATTTATTTTCTGATGGGTAAAACTACATTTAATGAACTATTTTTACTGTGTAAAAAAGTAGCACAATCAAAAAAAAATATGATTGTCTTGGACACTCTAAAGAAGCTTGTAAATAAGAACCGTTTCTTTCGAAATTTGTTTATGATTAAAAGAGAATCTAAATTTAATTCTCATATATGAACAAGAGGCCCAAGGGCCTTAACGGTTACCTGAGAATAATGTTTGTTTGTTTATTGTTTAACGTCCCTCTCGAGAATCTTTCACTCATATGTAGACGTCACCACTTGCCGGTGGAGAGCTGCAAATTTAGCCTACGAGAGGTGATCAAAAAATTCGCGAACTAAAAAGAACTTAACTTAAAAGAAATAAAATTAGGGTTCAGTGTTCAATATCTTTTAAAGTAGTCCCCTCCGATTTTAATGCACATCTGCCATTGTTCTGCCCTTGCGCGAATCACGTGATCCAGGCGGTCACGTGAGATGCTTCGTAGCGGTCTGTTCACAGAAGCTAAGAGATTTTTCCAAGTCTTATATTTCTTACCATGCAAGTAATTTTTGATAACAAGAACAGACCATCTGTCAGAAATGGCTAAATCTAGGCAATAGGATGGTGGATAAAGATACCCCTTCCAAGAATTAACATGGTGACCATCACAACCCGAGTCATCTGTCTCGGGAGCGTCGTTTATCCAATGTGGAAAAAATATGGGCACCTTTTTTTCATATCTCATATGTTTAAAGTCTAAAGTAAATGATATTTTAGGGATTTAATAATTATATTATTGCTCAGATACTCAACTATTTTTCTAACTGTTACTTGGTGTTCTTTCAAACTTTCAAAACAAATTGCTCAACAAATTGCTCGACTAAGGAGACATCTTTTTACCGGCTTGCTTTCGCTGGGCAACAGAACAAACATCATTTTTAATCGTCTCCATACCTTCACTTAAACATTCAATCCAATTAATGATTGAACAGTAAGTCTGGTAAGTCTGAACTGGTAAGTCTTTTGTCTTCATAAACTTTGTACAAATTATTATATTCTACTACAAAGGAATTTCCGAGATATGCGTTAAACTTAACAGCCGTTCTTTGCTCTTGTACGACTGAGTCAACCATTTTTTGTCACAAGTGACCTACATATTGACGTCATTTTCACACTGTGACGTCACAAACATGGACCACAATATTTGCTATAACTATATGTGTGCTAAATGTCATTCTGATCTTAATTGTGGTTTTTAAATATAAAGATAGTTCGCGAACTTTTTGATCACCCCTCGTATACTCGGCACTCAGGGCCATTGAGCAGCGAGGGATCTTTTTCGTGCCAGCACCTACTGCGACACGGGACCTCGGTTTATACGGTCTCATCCGAAGGACCGGTCTTCACGTCCCACAGTGGGACTCGAACCCGCGCCGTAAGGATCAACTCCTTACTCGGCGACTCTAGAGTGAACGCTCTTACCACTGCGCCACGCGGGCGACTTCCTGAGTATTATGTAATGATCCATAGATCAAAACAAATGAAGGTTTGTTGTCCAAAAGCAAGAGAAATAGGATGATCGGTGATCAACAAAATATTAATTTAGTACTCAGTAACAAATCTTATAGTTGATCTACTAATTTGCCTGTACTCCCCCCATTTTTCACCATTCCCATGTGGACTAAAGAAAACAATATTACTAGAGCACTATTAGTTAACAAATTTCATTCCCCCTCACATCGCCTCTTTTAGTCCTTGAATATTATTTTATGTACAAAGATAAGATATTTTGGTCCCATTTTCACTTATCAAATATTTACAAGTCTACGTTTCCATAAAAAATATGAAAGTACTCTTGTATTAAATATTATAAAAATTCTTGTATAATTCTGGTATTCAATTGACCTTTTCAGTTATAATATTTACAGTGATTAACTACCATAGGTGAATAGCGAAGGGGAATTCAATAGAAATTAATAAGCTGACCAAAAGGTACATACACTGTAATTTCAAAATCTGGTAAAAACACTGTTGTTTAATGCACTATGTTTGCCTCCTAGATGCAAAAGAGCAGACAGGAATTTCAAAACCATTTTCACTACAGATTCAATTTAGCCCCACCCTAATACGAGAGCCCTTGACCAAGGGGCAAACATATTCACAATTTTGGAGGACACACTCTTGCTCATAATAACCATGCAGTTAGTATGTTTCCTAAATAACAATGGGCAGAGAAGAAGATTTTCATAGAAATAATGCTTATCTACTACTCATATATATTCAAAAGAGCCTAACCCTAACACCAAAACCCCTGACCCTGGGGTTATGAATTTCAAACTTTTTGAAAAGAAATACTTGCTCAACATAACCATGCAGTTCACTTAGTTTTTCTGTTAAATACTCAGGGACAGTGAAGATTTTCAAAAAAATAAATAATAATAACAAATTGAATGCATTACCGCTGACTATTCAGTAGACCCCCTCCCCCCAACATGGACCCCTGATTCTAGGACCACAAATTTTAAAATTTTAGAAGAGGCATTCTTGCTCATCATAACTTTATATGGTTTATCTGCTAAATACCTACGAGCAGAGAATAACATTTTCAAAGAATCTATGCATTTTCACTATATGATCAATAGAGCCCCGCACTAACATCATAAGCCTTAACCCAGGGACCACAAATTTCACAATTTTGGAAGAGGCGCCCATGTTCATTGTAACTATTAACTTGGTTTATCTACTAAATACCTAGGAGCAGAAAAGAAGATTTTCAAAGAAATAATGTACTTTCACTATATAATCGATAAAGCCCCCCTCCTGCAGAACCCCTCACCCTGGGGCCACAAATTTCACAATTTTGGAAGAGGCACCCTTGATCATCATAACCATGCACCTAGTTTATCTGCCTTATATACAGGGGGAGAGTAGAAGATTTTTAAAGAATTTATGCATTTTCACTATATGATCATAATATCCCCACTCTAACTCCAGAACCCCTCAACCATGAATTTCACAATTTTGGTAGAGGGCTCAATGCTTATTACAATCATGCCAACAGTTGAACTGCTTGGTGTCCAGGAGTAAAGAAGATTTTAAAAGATTGTACTCATTTTGATTGTTTTGGCCCCATCCTTAAGGTTCCAGGGGGGCAGTGACCATGAAATTCAAAATTTTTGTTCCCCTTTGCTCATAGATGTTTTATGTCAAAATTGGTTGAAGTTGGTTCAGCGGTTGCAGAAAAGAAGCTGAAAATGTTCAAATGTTAACGCACGACAACAGCCGAAAACGGATAGCAATAGGTCACCTGAGCTACTCAGGGGACCTAAAAAAGGCAAAATTCTAAAGTCATAAGTTAAATTAAACTGCCCGGGTTATTTTTTGTAAAGGAGGTCGAAAGTCATGGTCAAGTGGATTGTATGTAATGCTGGTAATTTTTATGTTTTATGACAAACAGTGTACATGCTAAATAGCATAGAGTTACCTCTTAAATGTCAAAAATATGCTGTATATCGGCACTATAAAATATTTTGAAAAGTAGGTCAAGGTCAAGGGTCACGAGTTCGGTATCCATGGTAATTTACAAAAGCCACAGTGACAAGCAATGTACGAGCAAATTATCAAATTCATACCTCTTACAGTTCTGGAGATAAAAAGGTGTGACAGATAGACGCCGGGTTAAGTGAGCCCTAAATGTCGCTCTGTTCTGTAGGCAACACAAAAAGCAGCCCAAGCAGTTTTAGTAGACACAGTAAATTCAGTAAGCGGGTATACTAGCACATTTATATGCTAGTATGTATCAAGTGCAAAAATTCTGAAACACTAATTATCATATCAAAATTTAAACCATTGAAATATTGAGTTAGGAATCTTGCACCCCAAAGATGTATTTGACAATTTTTATAGCTCCTTGGTAGATTTTTCAAGCTGCAGCGTATGCATACAAATGTACGTTTAAATAGAAAGTAACTCTCACTTGCAATGTTCTATTGTACAAACAACCAATGTTTTCTACAAGATTGTTTCCGTCAAATACCAGAAATAATGGGTGTACGTGTTTTTAAGAAATATTTCACTGTTACTACATGGTTATCATGTAGCAAAATATATATATTTTTAATATTCTGTATATTTCTTACCTCATTTATACGTTGCACGGTGGGAATGTTCTGATCTGCATCTCTTTCAGTTTCAAATGTGGTGTTGTTAAAAACTGCAGCCTTTGGCCATTTTCTAAATAAAATGATAAAAATTCTGATTTTATTTCAAACTTCAATAAAACATGTTAGAAATGAATGTTAAAACACGGAAACAAACTCAACTGCAAGCACGTGCACTGATAACGTTTTATACTTTTTTTCAGCTTTAGGTTTCCCATTTCGTATATTTTGGTAGATGATTAGTCCAAGAACAGTTAGGACAATGCCTAAGATAAGGCCACCAATAACAGATCCAACTGTCACACTGACTATGGTATCCTCTGCAAGAATATATCAGAAAATTTAATAGCAAGAAATTTCTTTAATTTAGTTCTTCAAAACCATACCAAAACAAGTATTTCTAGTGTTAAACAGCTTTTAAATATCAGCAGGGTTCTCCATCATTTAAAATTTTACTGTGTTGCAGACTCTACGTGAACCACTAACATTCGCGGTAATTTCGCGATCCAATTCGCAACTGAACCACTATTCATAATAATCGCAAAAGCACACACACACACACACACAACTTTTTTGAATCACTAATTCGTTATGCAAATGGTATGGTCGTATATATTAATGAAAATAAATTAATGGATATATTAAGTACTTTTAGGGGGTGCCTTTAAATTCTTCAACAATACATTTACATCAATTAAACGATTACGCTACGATGTTTGACTCTCAGTGTCAACATAATTCTAGAGACGGTGGTTCTGAAGTATAAAGACATATATTTATAATAAAATTTTAACTTCTAGATAATATTTAAAAATGCAACTAGCAATTATACGGTTACATGGAAGTGTGAAAACAAATTATTTGTCTTTGTTCCTTCATGTGTAAAGTCCAGGGAGTCGCAGTCTAGGAGATAATTGATTATGCAAGGTGAAGCAAGATAAAGTGCCCTAATAAAGAGATAATTAATCTCTGCCTTAAAAAATTGAAAGAGGGAAATTTTGTTTTATTAAAGTTTCAGTTCAGTTTAGTTCTTTATTCCGTGGGACGTACATCCCATAAGCATTACAGTACAATATTATATATTTACAGTGTATCAATTACATACATAGTACAATAAAATGATATACACTTGCAAACTTGTGATACATACATTCTATTATTTAGCTAATTGTTTTAAACATTCTAATCGTAATTTATTAGCATGATATATATATTCCCCTAACTGATTTACATCTCTGGTGTTTGTACTACAAAATAGTTGTATTAGCTTTAAGACATTTGGTCTTAGGATGTAGTAATGTTTGATGAATTTGTCTCTTAAATCATGAAAAACTGGACAAATGAATAAAAAATGAAATTCATCTTCAATATCATATAAATTACATAAATCACATTTCCTTTTACTCCTTATTAAGTTGTCATACCTTCCAGTTTCTATCTTTAAATTATGTGCTGAAAGTCTAAAACATGTAATTCCTTTTCTGTATTTTACATGAATAGGTTTCTTTAAATAACCTTGCAAACAAAATGAGTCAACTAAATGCTTATATAACATGCATTTTGGTAATCTACATATATCAGATATAGCCTTTTGTTTAAAAACCTAGAGTGTACATTTCATTTTTATACTCATAATCCAAGGATCTTTATTCTCCACCATATTTTGATAACATGCACTCAATATACAATTATTACTTTTTCTTAATTTTAACCAATATTGTAATATTCTGCGCTTTCTATATATATCTAGTGGTATTCTACCTACACTATTGCAAGTATTTTTTCTTACACCAAGTATTCTTTTACAAAAATTAATATGCACTCTTTCAACATCTTGACCTTTATGAAACCCCCATATTTCAGCTCCATACATAACACACTTTTAACATAAGTATCAAACACATTAATCTGAGTCTCAAGATTGAAATTTAAATCTTTCATTTACTATAAATACTAAACATTGTCTTGTTACCTTGTGTTGTACAATGTTTCTGTGTGGATAAAAATTTACCATAATTATAGTTAAATAACATTCCTAAATAGTTAAATTGATTCACAACTTCCACATTGTTACCATTATATTTCCATTTTTCTTCATCTTTTACATACTTTCCATTTCTAAAAACTACAATTTTTGTTTATTGTTCATTTACAGTTAAATTCCATTCTTTTGTATAGCTATGAAGGATGTTTAACATTTCTTGTAAACTTTTAACTAATTCCGCTATTAGGACTGTGTCATCTGCGTGTACATAATTAGAAACAAATTTATCACATGAAGTTCAACTGAAGCAAATTATTTTCAATAAAATGTCGTTTAAAATCATTCAGATACATAGAAAATAATACAGGCGATAATATTTCCCCCTGCAGAACACCGGCAGAAATACAAAATGTGTCTATCAATATCCCTTGGTGTTTTATACAGGCTCTTACATTCTTATATAGAGATTTAATAATACATAACATTTTCCTTGTATACCTTCTGTTTGTATCTTGTACCATAACTACGATCTGTCAATTAAATCAAAAGCCTTTGAATAATCTACAAAGCAACAGTATAATCTCTTTTTTGTTTCTCAATGTCCTGCTAATTAAACTTTGTAGAATAAATATAGCGTCAATTGTACATGTGTACATGCACCTGGCTTAAACCAACTGAGCGTCTGTAATGATATTATATATTTGGTCCCATTCTAACAATCCATTATTCAAAACACACGTAAACAGTTTGCTAAACAACTAACCAAAGTTATACCTTTATAATTATTTGGGTCGTGTAATTCGCCCTTTTTGAAAATTGGTACAATACACCCCTTTGACCAACTACCTGGATACATACCCGAATCAAAAATATTGCTAAATAGATTACATAGAATAGGAATCGTAACTTCTTTACATTTAATAAAAAAAATCATTAATTACACCATCATCTGCGTTACTCTTATTACACGTAAGTTTCAAAATTGCTTTCTCTACTTCTAATTCAGATATACGAGTATCTAATTCCTCATAGCAAGATGCTGAGTGCTGTTCAACACTGTCATCAATATTGTTGGATTCGTTCTTGTTCTCAAAAACACTCTTAAAATGTTCAAAAAATTGATCTGCTGTTATATCATTACCTATTTTTTTCTAATTCTTAAATAACCTGAAAAATTGTCTTGGATTATACTTTCTTAAATATTCCATGTTATTTCCCTGGTATCGTTCATAAATGTGCTTAAATTTCTTTATGTTTTTTTTATAATCACATTTCTTGTCACAAAGTGCGTTTCTATTAACAGTTGATTTATTTGTATTATATATGTGTAGAAGAACTGCGAACGATAGTATTGTTCTCCCGCCTACCTCCAAGTCAATTTTCAAAAGTTAAGATATTCGAATGATTTTTAATATTTATATTGATATTTATATGGATTTTCATAAAACATTACTTCTTTGGAAAAACAACGAGAGATAACTCTAAAATTTTGGTAAAACTCGTGTTTTTCACTGTAGAAATCAACGGAAAACGGAAATATTTTTAAAACATCTTTCCCCCCCGTGAAACAAAAATTCCTTTTGACGGGTAATATGGACTGTCATTTCACAAATTCATTCCAAAGCTTTTTGTGTTTCACGGGGGGGTGGGGGGGGGGACATATGTTTATATACAAAAAACGACAAAAATGCTTATTTTTTCAGCAATTTCCAAGTGCTTTACAACTGAAACATTATATTTTACTAATATATATGCTTAATTTTATATGCATAAAACATGAGAAGAGATTTAAGAAACATTTATTCATATTCAAGACTATTTCAGAATATGGTGATGCTTTATAGCCCGATTTCAGTGGAAAATATCGTCTACCCCCCTTATTTCAAGAGCTGGAATTAGGGATATTTTACTATTTAGCACTGGAATTAAAATAATTAATCAATTACCATTGAACTGTTCTTTGTATTAAACAAAGATTTTATGGCCAAATTGTCATCAATATTGAATTAAATGGTTGTAAAATGTAGGCGGGAATCGGGAGTTACCGTGCGTAGTTCTTTCTTTGTAATCTTGATATTTAGACTTGCAGATATCATTAAACCAGGGTTTGTCATTATTCATTTTCCTATCTGTATGCATCAGACCGTCAGAGACCTTACACAATGTCTAACTGAAATTCTCCACACAAATATCTACCTCCTCTTGTGTATTAAAACCTTCTTTCCATTTGACTGATTTACACAAAATCCTAGATCTGTTTGATATTTGGATATTTTCAGTGTATATGACATTTGTATTTAAAAAATTAGTTTTTATGACAAAAGTAAGTCGCGCATGATCAGAAAAGATATTGAAATCTCCTGTCTGAAAATTAAAAACAGTATCTAATCTATTCACGTCTGTCAGTAAATAATCTATGGTGCTCATACCGTTTGCATTGAAGAAAGTAATATTGCCCTTACAATCCTTTTCCTTTCTACCATTAGCAATGCGTAATCCTGTAGTTTGACATAAGTTTATCAATTTTTTACCAAAATTTATCTATACTATATCTACAAGTTTATTTTGTAACCGTGTCATAATCTACAAAGAACTGTATATTATTCGCTAAAGATTCTTCGAGTACATCGTTCATAATGAAATCTAAATTTCCACATATAGCATTAAAATCGCCTGTGACATATACAGAGCCCTTTGTGGTAAAAATCACAATAAGATTCTTCCAAATATTGAAAAAAAAATCAACATTTTCTTTTTTATAGAATACACTATTTTCTAGTGGGATGTAACATGCAGCTATGAAAATTTGTTTTAACATGTACGTTCGACTTATTTTCAAAATATGAAAATTTGTTTTAACATGTACGTTCGACTTATTTTCAACTACTAGCCACGCCACGGAGTTGCAAAATTGATCAACCACCGATACTTTCATATCCAAAATACTATCAACAAAAATTACAATACCACCTCCTTTTCCACTTGTTCTTGAGAAAATGTAACTATTATAACATGGCAATTCTAAACGATCATTATTACTAGTTATCCAACACTCTAACAAAATGATTATATCATACGCTTTTATAATATCAACAAATTCGTGATCGTCCAGCTTAGTTTTTAAACCTTTGCTAACATTCCATGATATTACAGATAAGTTGGAGTATCTACTTTCGGGCCTGTCCTAATAATCAAATTGCCCACCTGCATTCGCGCTTGATACCACTAAACTCTAAGCTCTACCATGATCCGAATACTGGATATAACTGCCATTGTGAGGCTGCTGTCCGGCATCATATTGACCTGTGCTGCGTGTGTTTTGCAGATGCATATCTCTTTGGGGCTGAGAATAACTTTTCATACGTGTTTCATAAGATCGCCCTCGTACTTTCATATATTATGGGTACGTTTCCATCGGATGCGTTTAACCATCTACTGTTGTCGCATGTGTATCCATAGGACGCGTATGTCTATCTATAGCTGTTGCATGTGTCTCCATAGGATGAGTATGTCTGTCTGTAGACTGTACGTGTGTTTCTCTAGCCCGCACCTGTGTTTCCGTGGGTCGCAAGTGTCTGTCCATTGGCCAAACGTTTGTTTCCATAGGCCGAGCTACTGCATCTCTTTGCTGTAATTGTAATTGCGTAGTCTGCACTCCCACTAACTGTGCTTGCGACCCAGCTTTGGGTATTCTGTTGGCTTGGTTTTGCACACCAAAGTTAACATGATTTTCAGTCCTGTATAGTTTCCCATTCACATATAGCCGATCTTTAACAAGCTTTGTTCTATTTCCTTGGCTACGCAGCTCCTTCATAATTGGGTATAGCTGTTTCCTCGTTCTTCAATAGAGTTGGGAAATTGTTTGTGAATCCCAAATCCTGATCCTTTTAATCTGTACGCTTATTAAAGTTTTAGTCAGAGGGAAGTTATGTTTTGATTTTCACAGATCTTACTGTGTACATGTGTCGCATTTTTTTAATGTGTCGCAAGCATAAAATCTGAATCGTTACTGTGTCGGGGCCGACACAGTAAAACAGTTCATGGGAACCCTGTATCAGCATATATAAATATGGTTTTTAGAAGGGTTGATCCAAAAGGAATGTCAATACTGCTATGAAATTTTTGATAATAAGAAGACATCGATGAAATTTTGTTTTTACTTTGGCACTTGTTTCAGTTAAATCAGAAGTCGATTAAAACATCCGCTATCACCTGCACATGGTGTTTAAATCTCCCAACTTACTCGATACTCAAGAGCATACACTGAGAACGATAAATTTTTCAACCCAGGCAGGCTACCGACAGATAAGTTAATGTTACGGTGATTTCAACAACCTCGTTAAAAGTCAGCATTTCGTAAATAAATGGTCGTTATAATGACCTTGTTAACAAATATAGCCTATCACTGGGTCGTATTTTGGCTGACTTGATTCAAACCAATTGTTAAGCGTTTGTTTTTATACTTAATTTGACTACATATATTTAATTTGACTACAGAATGTTCCGTTTACCCGATCAATACATTAGGGCTCTTGGCAGGTGTGACCAGTCAATAGGGGATGCTTACTTCTCCTAGGTACCTGATCCCATCTTTTGAATTTCCGGCGAACAGCGTTCTATGCTCTGTTAGCAGGTTTACAAAAAAGGGAATGAATTTGGAAATGGACTTTGTACAGTTCATATACTTTTTGAAAAGACAAGACTTTATGCATTTTGGCAAGATGGCAGTGAGGATTATTAAAAGTATTTATCAAAGATGAAAACATCTTACAAACGGGGATTGCTAATTGAATATTATTAACAACAGAATAACAAAAATACTGACTACTACATGTTTTTTATATGGCTGAATGGGCCGCGAAAGCTTAAATGAGAGAGCCGAGGCATCAATATACTGCCTCGTAATGGCATCCCTAAAAATGTTCATGAACCCTGGGCACAGATGTCCGCTATTTTGACTAGTCCATACTGAAAAATGTTTGTTAACATATTGAAAAAGAGTTCGATGAGCCTACTGGTAAGCCCAATAGCCGCATGCCTGAAGTCAACAGTTGGCATATTTGACTGGTAAAAACAGGCGGCCGTGACGAGGGGTTCTTTGCTAAAGATGCTGCGGCTCCAAACAAAATCTGAAATGATAAAAAATGCCCGGAGAAAAAGAGAGACACCCACTGTGAATGAATCATCAGAGAAACCAAAACAAATTGTGAACTATGTAAAACCCAATATATCGACTTTTAACGCTCGCAATTCTAAAAATCCTAATCGACCACTGTTTGACAGGGATATGAGGGTGGATGAAAGTTTAAGCATACTAGACTGATGACGAATACGTAAAGTGACGTCAGAGTTCTTTGTAAGGTACTACTAATATCGTTATGCATGAATGTAAAATACGTAATAATAATAATAAAATAGTAAACTAATTACATTATCGACCAGACCGGATAAATAATAATTAGTTCACTTTGATAAATGGATTTAACCATAAATGGTTAAATCCCATTATCAAAGATGAAATTGAATTGTATTTCATGTAACAACAGAATAACAAAAATACTGACTCCTTTTTTCATTAGGCTGAATTGGCCACGGCCGCTTAAGGTAGTCCAATCCTCGGGTTCTGAAAACCAGCAGTTGAGTAATTAAAAATATTCACAAAAATATTTTTGAATTCACAAAATAATGGGTATTTACCCATGAAATCTCTTCAAAGTTCATCATTGAATTTAATCATATTATAAAGGGAAAATTACCTAATCTCAGATAATTATATTTTTAGGAAAACGCAAATAGAAGCACCAGCTATGCATTTTCTAATTCAAAATAAAGCAACGAATATATTTTAGGATAAAATAGAATAAGTATCCAGGCATTAGGAGAAAAAATTGCATGTTTTTTTTTTTTTTTTTTTTTTTTTTTTTTTTTTTTTTTATACTTATACGGTATTTTAGTGCTTCTGTTTACTTGTGATTGTTAAGTAATACATGCTGTAAAAAGCGTGTTCTATCATTGCAAAACATCACAGATCACATGTAATTTCATCTTTTGGTAATAAGTGATGGTATCTAAGGCTAGATTACAGGAAACTTGATCTCTCTAAAAATGTATTTATTTTGGGTCTTTTATGGGGTAAAAATGTCAACTTTTTACAATGCTATTTCTAAAACTTCAAAGAACCTTTATTCATATTGAGATGCATAAAATGAAAATTGCTGCACGAAAATTTTTCAATTTCAAGCTTCCTTTTGAGACTTTTTGAATTAAATAATGACTCTAAGAGTTATCCTTCCTGTCTGAGGATCGGATATCCTTAAATAATTTAATTTTGTTTGTATCCTAGCCTCTGATTGGTTAATATCCAAAAAGGAACACAAATTATTTCTGTATAACCTGGTTTGGTATGGGGACATACCCCTCTGACAACCAGCTGAATCATCTGTATCCATACAATCTTCTCATTTCCAGTCCTCGGGATTCATGGAAAATTCCAGATTTAATAAATGTACCTTTAATTTCAAACAATAATTCGATCTTACCACATGTAAACAACCAACATGGCTGCTAGGCCTATGTATCAGTTTTTACCTCCCCTCGATTCCCATCACTTCCGTTACTACGGTTGTATTATTGAGCGGCAAATTTGAACTAATAAAAAGTAACGAAATTTTACACCCATAGTTATTTAATGATTTTAAAATTAAATTATAAGGAATAACTCTAATTCTTGGCCAAATTATTCGAGTATAACCTGGTTTGGGTCAGTTTACGCTGTTTTATAATTTGCTTCGCAGATTATAAAGCGTAAACTGACCCAAACCAGGTTATACTCTAATAATTTGGCCAAGAATTAGAGTCATTCCTAAAATGAGGGAGTGAGGCACAAATATACTGCCTTGTAATGGCATCCCTAGAAATGCAAGTGAACCCTGGGCACAGATGTCCACTATTTTGGCTAGTCTACATTTAAAAATGTTTGTCAAAATATAGAAAAAGAGTTCGATGAGCCTACTGGTAGGCCCAATAGCCGCTACAAGACTGTGAGACTTACAGTCTACGCCAACAGTAGGCATGAGACAAAAATTGCAATCTACGATTATGATCTGTTTTAAAACGATATAACAGCGATGAAAGCATCATCTGTCCTAGATTAGAATAATTTCAACTTCTGGGAAAATAGAAAGAAATAATCAATATTAACATGGCATTATGTCATAAAAAAATTATGCACATATACATTAACATATAAATAGCAAAAGCATCTACTAGATACAAGTCAAAGGGTCAAATTTTATTCAACGTGCAAAAATTTTGAAGGCAAAGCATAAGCAAATGCAAAATTCTTAGCTGCAATATCACTGCCTTAATTACCACGAGCAAATGCCAAAATCTTAGAGGCAAAAGCATTGTCTTAGAATACGCCACAAAACTTAAGGGCAAGCGCATTGCCCCCGTTAAATCAACATTCTGCTATAACAAATATGGATTCGAAAGCATGGCAAATACAATGTATGATAATGGACTAGTCATGATAGAACAAATAGAAAATGCAACCATATTAAATATATGGCTGAGACTATGACACCATAACTAGTCATAATAATAATAATGAAAAATTACGAACTTCGAAAAAAAATTCAAAGTGCGTTAATTTTGGGACCACGTTAACGCACTTTGAAAAAAAGAAAGAAATTCTTTTCAAAGTGAATTAATATCGACCATATTAACGCATTTTAAAAAAAGGAATGCATGCGATCCTTCGTTTATTCTTTTCTTTCAGCAGTTTCAGAAACATTCCAGCATCGAAGTTATCAGCTATTAAAATCATTTTTTTATCAAAAAAATGCAGCTTGTTCCGACATGAATATATTAGGATCTACGGGTTATTGAACAGACAACATGTTTTAATAACGATGTTTATACGTGTTAACCTATACATCTTCCCAATGTCAAGGTTTTGTGATATCGTTTCTCTTCAAACCTTTTTAAATAGGAAGGATTTCACAAAACCTTGACATTGGGAAGATGTATAGGTTAATGTGTAGATGACCTATAATCTACTTGGTCTTTTAACGATGTTTAAGAGACTTTCACATTAATTCATCCCCGTGGTAGACAAGGAGCAAAAGGTACTACCTGGTTCATAGAGGATTTCACGGAAAAGAAAAGAAAAGATACTAGTACTTCACGGTAAAGAAGGATTTTTCGCGGAAAAGCAATGTCGACTCGCGGAAACATGTAACAACATATCAAACAGAAAACAGTAATAAATATAAACTAGATGAGATCTCGTTGCGAGCAACGAGTAGGTCTTCCGTCCGATTTTTAGATAAGATGAGATATGATTTTGACTATGATCTTTGTTAAAAGATAATAATATATAGACTTCCTTAATTAGATTTCATTCTTTTGATTTATATAACTATCAAAGAGCTATAGTTGACATGCTTTTGGCCCCTCTGAGCCCCTAGTTTAAGGAGTCAGCCCCTTTTTCTTGATATCAATTGAAAGGTCTTGTGATTTTGAAAACGATTTGTTCAAGAATTATTCAAAGATTTCCTTTCGTTGTGGAGATATGCTGAATGGAAATATTTAGGGGCCACCCCTTCAGGTCCTTAATGGGACTGTTTGACAAAAATTGAAAGAGTGCATATTGTTTAGAACATTATTCTGACCATCTTTTGTTCAGTATTGCTTATCAAAATATTCTCCCTTTTCGAGATATAAAGCTTCAAAGATTTAGCATTCTGGCCCTTTGTGACCCCTTATTACGTAACATATGATCAGAATCTTATCATATATTGTTGTAAATCG